ATACACACACATATATGTATATAAAAATATAATTTGTTTCAGTCTGTATTCTGAGTCCTTCACCTTTCTGTCAGGAAGTGATTGTTTCTTCATCACTCCTCTGGAATTGTGGTTAGTCATTACTCCGATAAGAGTTCAGCATAATAGTATTCTATTACATTTATATATCATAACTTGCTCATCCATTCTCCAATTTTGACTGCCCCTTCAGATTCTCACTCTTTGTTACCTCAGAAATATAAATATTTTTTGTGTGTTCTTAGAGTTTATTTTACTTAGGACTATATCTCTTAAACCACTTTTTCTAAAATTCTCCTCCCCTTCTCATCTACCTATTGAGTGAAATGTATTTCTGTACCCACTTTTGGGATATGTGTATTCTTCCTTCTTTTCACTAGTTCAGATGAGAGTGAGGTTCAAGGGTCAGCCACTCCTTCCTACCACCTCCTCCTTATTTGCATGGATGTCTACTAGTGCACCCTGATTATGTGAGATCATTTTCCCTAACTTTCTTTTCCCTTCTCTCTCTCCCTCCAATGTATTCCTCTTCCTTTCTCCTGCCATTTTTCTCTTAAGATCATGAAGACTTCACATAACAACTCCTAAGCCTTGTCTAATTGGACCCTCTTTATCATCCCTCATGATGATGAGGTTCCAAAGTAATACATTTATCATCTTCCCTTATTTGAATGTGGGCAGTTTATCCTTGCTTAATCCTTCATCATTGTTGATTTATATTTACCTTTTTATGTTTCTCTTCATTCCTATATTTGGGTTTTAAAGTTTGTCTGCAGCTCTGGTCTTTTTATCAGGAATTCTTGGAAGTCCTCTGTTTTATTAAAAGTCCATTTTTTTCCCGACTGTATCATTATACTAAGTTTTGCTTGGTAAGTTATTCTCAGCTGTAAACACTTATCCTTTGCCTCCTGGAATACTGTATTCCAAGTTCTCCCCTCCCTTATAGTGGTGGCTATTAAATTGTGCATGATTCTGATGACAGAGCTTGAGTTCTTCAACTGTTTCTTTCTGGCAGTTTGCAATATTCTTTCTTTGCCCAGAAACTCTATATTTTGGCTATAATGTTCCCAGAAGTTTCAAAGGTTTCTTTCAAGGGGTGACCAGTGGATTCTTCTCCCTTTTTTTGAAAATCAATTTTAAAATTTTTTAAATCAACTTGATTTTGTTTTAATATTTCCTGTTGCCTAATGGAGTCATTAAATTCTATTTAGTCCATTCTAATTTTCAAGGTGTTTGTCACTTTGGCAAGTTTTATACTTCTTGTGCCAAACTGTCAATTCTCTTTCCAATTCTTTCTTTCATAACTCTCATTTTTTAAATTTTTTTTTCCTCAAGCACTCTCATTTCATTTATAAGATTATTTTAACTTTTGCCTCATTTCTTCCAAGAATCCTAGCTGAATTTTTGTCCAAGCAATATTTTTCTCTGAGGCTTTGCCTATACATGTTTGAGAGTTATTATCTTCTTCTGAGTTTCCCTCACACCATAATAGATCCTTAAGGTGGGCTTCTTTTCTTAGTTCATTCTTCTAGCCTATTTCTTGACTTCAAACGTGATATTAGACCTGAGCTCTTTGGCACTTCTAGAGGGCATTTCTGGGCTGGTCCTGCTGCTTCTTTCTTGGGTTATTGAATGTGGTATTATTCCAAGATCTCAGAAATAGACTGAGAACATGAAAACCTTCAGTGCTTTTAGAGTAGTCTGATGCAGGGCAAAGTCTGTTTGCTGCCTGCCTGGTCTCAGCTCTCAAAGTTCCTGACCTCAGTTTGGGAGTGGGTAAGAGTATAATGCTGCTGGATTCTGTTGGTCCAGAGTGGCAGAACTGCAGGCTTCCCTTTGGTCTGGGATTCCTGCACTAGTTATCCTCTCCTGGCTGCACTAGATGTTAGGAACAAGATCCTCTTCTGCTCTGGGATCTGACCTACACCGCCGCCGCCGCTGCTGCTGCTTGCTTGCTTGCTTTCAAACTTCTTCCTTTATTAGTGAACTGCCCACAGTCTCCCTACCTGGAACACTCTCATGAACAGGTCTTCTTCTCAGTTTACCCTAAGTCTTCAGCCTCAAAATGGATAGCACATGACAAAGATGACAGTTCACATATTTCCCCATTGCACTGCCCTGTTATGACCTTATTGGAGCCCCAATTTAGGTCTGGGATCTCCTTTTACCCTGGTGCGCAACTTCTCCCTGGGCACTGGAGTTCTCCACAGTGTGTTCTGACCCAAACCCAGTATTCAGTATCTGCAGACTTCTCTGTATTGCTCCCTATATCCAGTTGGGCAGGACAAACGATGCACTGTGATTTTTTTTTTAATTTCAGTCAGTCAATAAACATTTAGTAAGGACAACTAGGTAGTGATTACAGTGCCAGGCCTGAAATTAGAAAGATTCATCTTCCTGAGTTCAAATCTGGCTTCAATCACTTCCTAGCTCTGTGATTCTGGGCAAGTCACTTAACTCTGTTTATCTAAGTTTCCTCATCTGTAAAATGAGCTAAAGAAGAAAATGGCAAACCAATCCAATGTCTTTGCCAAGAAAACCCCAGTGCAGTCATCAAGAGCCAAAAACGACTGAACAACAAAAAATTTCAGTCAGCTAGGTGGCACAGTGGATAGAGTAAGAGGTCTGGAGTCAGGAAGACTCATCTTCATGATTTCAAATCCAGCCTCAGACACCTAGGCAAGTCACTTAACCCTGTTTGCCTTGTTTCCTTATCTGTAAAACCAGCTGGAGAAGGAAATGGCAAACCACTCCAGCATCTTTGCCCAGAAAACCCCAAATGGGGTCAGAAAAAATCAAACACAATTGAAATGACTGAACAACCACAAGAAAAAGGAAACTTCTGGTCTGTCATTTTACTGCTAGTTATTAGCTCTAGTCCAAGAAAGAAATGTTTAGGAAGCATTAGAAAGCAAACGAATTTGCTTTCCCAGAAAATATTAAGTGTTTACAGGGACAAATACAGGTATTTTAAATGGTTGAGTCATCTCTACAAGAAGGTTTAGCCAAACAAGTTTTTATAAAGAAAATTGACATTTTTCTGTATCTGGACAAACTGTGAATATTATATCTATTACTTCCCATCTATAAAACCTTGGCCAAGTCACTTGGATACTCTAGGCCTCAGTTTTCTCATCTATTAAATATAAATATATGTTACATATAGTACATAATAAATACATAATATAAAAAATAAATTAAATATTAAATCTATTGATCTAGACCAAGTGTCAGCAAACTCTGCCCCGCTGACCAGATCAAGTCCACCACTTATTTTTGTATGGTCTACTAAAAATGTTTTTTACATTTAATCAAAATAAGAATAATATTTCATGGTACATTTAACTTACATGCAATTCAGGGCAGCTAGGTGTCGCAGTGAATAGCGTACCAGCCCTGAAGTCAGGAGGACCTGAGTTCAAATCTGCCCTCAGACCAAACACTTGACACTTACTAGCTGTGTGACCCTGGGCAAGTCACTTCACCCCAATTGCCTTAAAAAAAATTATATGCAATTCAAATTATAAGGTCCATAAATAAAGTTTTATTAGGACACTCATTCATTTACATCTTGTTTATGGCTGCTTTAGTGCTACAATGGTAGCATTGAATAGTTGTGTCCAAGACATATGTGATGCTCTCATTACTTCTCTTTTTTTCTTTTCTTTTTTTTTAAGGCAATTGGGGTTAGGTGACTTGCCCAGGGTCACACAGCTAGTAAGTGTCAAGTATTTGGTCTGAGGCCAGATTTGACCTCAGGTCCTTCTGACTCCAGGGCCTGTGCTCTATCCACTGAGCCACCTAGCTGCCCCTCTCATTACTTCTCACTTTTACTCCAAGCACTACAAATCAATAATTCAACACCATTTTTAGTGCCACATGTCTCGCTATACCATAATTTTTTTATTACATGTGTATATTCATCATGTCAAAACATGAAAAGAAGAGGGGATTAAAAAGTTCATGGCCAAGATTGAATTTTTTCTGAATAAGAACTGCCCTCATGCACTATTATCAAACATTGAATGGCTTTGTAAACTAGCTTTTGCTACAAAGTTGATCATGTTTCTTAATTAATTCAACCTAAAATTATAAGGCAAAACAGTGTTTATATTTGAAACCTATACTACAATTAAGTCCATTTAATGACAGTTAACACTGTTTGAATCACAAGTCATGCCAATCTTCTTTGTAAATTTCCCATATTGTCACAAGTTAAACAAGAAACAAGATCTCCATTGCCTCACAAATTTGCAACAGACATTTTCTGAACTCAAACTACAGTTCCAGCAGTGATTTTCAGATCTCAGTGCAAGAGTAAAAGAAACCTCCATGTTTCAAAATCCATTCAACTGGATAATTTAAAAACTTCCACCTAACCTCCAACTGGATGAGATTAATCTGCAGGGCAATCGAATGCTAAAACGCAAATATCTAGAGAAGATTTAATAGAATTCTATAAATTACTTCTAAGCAATGAATATACTTCAGTAAAACTATATGCCCATGGACTTCTGACATTTTTTTTCATTACCTATCTATATAAAAGGACATTTTCAAAGAAGAAATACATTAAATCTCACTATAGAACTCCATTAACAGATGAGTATGTGCAATCAATTTTGATGAAAGGGAACACTACTTTGAACCCTAATTAAGCAAATTGTAATTCCCCAAAAAGAGAATTCTATTTTTCTCATTAGTAGATCTGAATTACCAAAAAATTGCATTCTATTGTTATTATTATATTTTGAATTTTATTGATAAAATTTTAAGGAAATGTGATTTCTCTCTTGATATATAAGTACCTACATAAAATTCTCTGCTTTGCCTCTTGGCCAGCAAAGTCTAAAATATTTACTATCTGATCATTTACAGAAAAAAGTTTGCTGACCCCTGGGCTAGATAATCTCCAAAGTCCCTTCTAACTTTAAATCTTATGATACTATGAATCTTTATTCTTCCTTGAGAATAGCACTGCTTCACCTAGAGGACTCTGAAAAAGGAAGAAAAAAAGTCCCTTTGAAGAACATTTCAAAGACTGTCTCAGGAGGTTTGTGTTCAGCTCCACTTGTGAGCTCTCTCACTGTGTCACCCAGAACACAGAAGTACACAGCTGCATCTTCTTCTTGGACATGGAGCTTCCTCATATGGTAGGAGGTTTCATCCTTATTGGCCTGAAAGCCTTTGTTGCTTTCCTGTGAAGTATGTCTCAGGAGGACTTGAAGCTCTTGGTTGGGATACTGGACATACCAGTAGAGATAAGCAGCCCCAGAAGAGGAATAAGTGCATTTCAACTCCACTGGGAACCCTTCAGGGACAGAGACCTGGTCTTCAGGTTGAGTCACTGACTGTGCTGTTGCTCCTATTAAAAATAAAAATAAAAAAGGAAATCACTATAAGCAGAAGGAAATATAGCTCGAAGGAAATTCTGAATGGAACAACGGAAATGAGTAGAATACAATGTTACTCACTAGGTATGAATAGCATCACAAGTGCGAGAATGGGCACAGAGGTCATGGCTCAGTAAAATGAAGCTGGGGTTCCTCTCTTATTTGGGGGTAGGTGGGTCCATAGGACCAAAGAGATTGGTTACTTCAAGGAGGAGAAAGTCCTTCCTGTGAATTTCCAGGAGCAGGCTATCCTTCAATGAGTCTGCTTACTTTCTGGCTGCTGATTCCATTGGCTGACACTGCTTCAAGAGTTGTTTCAGTCTGAGTGTCTTGAGGAGCTGTAGGCACCAGGGCTGGAAGTGAGGGGAGGGCATGTTACTGTGCTTCATTTTCAGAAGATCCTGGCTCAACTTGTGCAGCATCGCCCTCTGGAGGCCAATCACAGAAGCATGGAGCATGTGTGAATGCCCCAAAGCCTCCCTAACCCCCCTGGCCAACTTTTGCTGTTTGCAAATGGCTCTGCTACCTGTCATAAGCTTCTTTGTAATACATGTCTCAGGTAAGCTAGAATCTTCATTGAAAGGTACTGAGAATATTCTGGGGTATTGTAAGGAATACAGTTGTTTTCTTGACTGATTTCCTATGTCTTTTATGACCCATCAAAGGTCAATTTCTATAAACTTGAAAGAGTGGAAACCATTGAATGGGTATCTGAGCCTTTTTTTGATGGCTGGCGGGGTCCAATAAATACAAGCCTCTAATATTTATTTATTCTACTCCAAATTCCAAAGAAGCCATTTCTTGCCACTCTCTAGTGATCTAAGGTATAAAACAAGATGCTCCTAATGCACAAGATATTTGGTGCTTTGCTTCTCTGAGACATTTAAGAATGACACTGACTAAGAGGCCATCTGATATTTCTGCACATTACAAGAAGTCATTAAGGACATGATCTGGGTGTGGTAAAGTGAAAAATGTGTTGGATGTGGAGTCAGATAAATTGGATACAAATCTAAGCTCTCAAACTTCCAATGTGACTTTGGTCCAGTCTGAACATTCTTGGCCTCATTTTCCTCATCTTTAAAATGAAAGAATTGGAATTAGATGATCTCTGTATTTACTTCCAGGTCTAAATATATGATTGTAAGCCCTACTACCATCCTATGCCAGGACCTTTTTTAATTTGGCCCTTTCTAGAGGAATGTGGTTAAAAACTATCTTCCTTACTACATAACTCTTACTCCATTTTATTTTCTAAAATGTCCCCACAATTCTTTTCAATTTAAGAAATATTTCTTAAGGTTCTACATTTCAGAGAACTATCCTAACTGACAAAAATACAAACTTTAAATAGTAAGTCTACAAGTAGGATAAGATACATATATAATTCACATGCACAATAATCCATGATACATGCATTTGTTGTTGTTGTTCAGTCATGTCCGACTCTTCATGACCTCATTTGGGGTTTGCTTGACAAAGATACTGGAGTGGATTGACGTTTTCTTCTCTAGCTCATTTTACAGATGAGGAAACTGAGGCAATAGGTTAAGTGAGTGGCTCAGGGTTACACAGTTAGTAAATGTCTGCAGCTGGATTTGAACTGACTCCAGGCCCAGCACTCTATCCATTGAGCCACCCAGATGCCCCAAAAAGAGTATTAGGGATGGGCAAAAACAAAGTGTTATGTGAGATGCAAGGGGGAAGGTCACAAAGTAAATGGAAAGAATAACAACCACAAAACACTGAAACTGAATGTTGTAAATTTATAAAGAATATGATGGACCCTGGGGAAGCATTTTTTTTGGTGTTTATTAATTTAATTATTTTTCATTTTCAACATTCACTTCCTCAAGATTTTGAGTTCCAAATTTTCTCCCCATCTTGTCCCTCCTCCCACCCAAAGATGGCATGCATTCTGAATACTCCTTCCCCTAATCTGCCCTCCCTTCTATCTCTACACCCCTTCTCTTATCCCCTTCCCCTTCTATTTTCCTGTAGGACAGAATAGATTTCTATACCCCATTGCTTGTATATCTTATTTCTCAGTTGCATGTGAAAACAATTTTTAACATTTGTTTTTAAAGCTTTGGGTTCCAAATTTTCTCCCTTCTTCCTTCCCCACCCACCCTCATTGAGAAGGCAAGCAACTCAAAACAGGTTATACATGTGTAATCATGCAAAACACTTCCATAGTAGTGATGTTGTGGAAAACTAAATATATTTGCCTTCATCCTATCCACCCCCAATTTGTTCAATTCTCTCTTTTGACCCTGTCCCTCTTCGAAAGTGTTTGCTTTTGATTACCCCCTACTCCAATCTGTCCTCCCCTTTATCATCCCCTCTCTCTCTTATCCCCTTTCCCCCTATTTTCCTGTAGGGTAAGACAGATTTCCATACCCAATTGAGTGTACATGGTATTCCCTCTTTAAGCCAAATCCGATGAGAATAAGATTCACTCATTCCCTCTCACCTTCCCCCACTTCCCCTCCACTGTAAAAGGCTTTTCTTGTCTGTTTTATGGGAGGTAATTTATCCCATTCTACCTCTCCCTTTCTCCTTCTCCCAGTATAATCCTCTCTCACCCTTTAATTTTATTCTCCAGATATGACCCCTTCATCTTCAACTCACCCTGTGACCTCTATCTATCTATCTATCTATCTATCTATCTATCTATCTATCTATCTAAATACATATAATTTTTTCCCTCCAACTACCCTAATACTGACAAAGGTCTCATGAGTTACAAATATCATCTTTCCATGTAGGAATGGAAACAGTGCACCCTTAATAAGTCACTTATGATTTCTCTTTTCTGTTTACTTCTTCATGCTTTTCTTGAGTCTTGTATTTGAAAGTCAAATTTTCTATTCAGCTCTGGTCTTTTCATCAAGAATGCTTGAAAGTCCTCTATTTCACTGAACGTACATTTTTTCCCCTGAAGGATTATACTCAGTTTTGCTGGGTAGGTGATTCTTGGTTGTAATCCTATCTCCTTTGTCCTCTAGAATATCATATTCCAAGCCCTGCAGTCCCTTAATGTAGAAGTTGCTAAATTTTGTGTTATCCTGATTGTGTTTCCACAATATTTGAATTGTTTCTTTCTGGCTGCTTGATATATTTTCTCCTTGACCTTGGAACTCTGGAATTTGACTACAAGATTCCTAGGAGTTTCCTTTGGGGATCTCTTTCAGGAGGTGATCAGTGGACTCTTTCAATTTGTATTTCACCCTCTGGTTCTAGAATATCAGGGCAGTTTACCTTGATAATTTCTTGAAAGATGAGGTCTAGGCTCTTTTTTGAATCATGGCTTTCAGATAATCCAGTAATTTTTAAATTACCTCTCCTGGACCTAATTTCCAGATCAATTGTTTTTCCAATGAGATATTTCATATTGTCTTCTATTTTTTCATTTTTTTCATTTTGTTTTACAATGTCTTGATTTCTCATAAAGTCACTAGCTTCCAGTTGTTCCATTCTAATTTTTAAGGAAGTATTTTCTTCAGTGAGCTTTTGGACTTCCTTTTCCATCTGGCCAGTTCTGCTCTTTAAGGCATTCTTCTCCTCATTGGCCTTTTGGACCCCTTTTGCCATTTGGGTTAGGCTACTTTTTAAGGTGTCATTTTCTTCAGTATTTTTTTGGGTCTCCTTTAGCAAGCTGTTGACTTGTTTTTCATGATTTTCTTGCATCATTCTCATTTCTCTTCCCAGTTTTTCCTCTACTTCTCTTCCTTGCTTCTCAAAATCCCTTTTGAGTTCTTCCAAGGCCTGGGACTGATTTATATTTTTCTTGGAGGCTTTGGATGTAGGAGCTTTGACTTTGTTGTCTTCTTCTGGTTGTATGTTTGGATCTTCTTTGCCACCAAAGTAAGATTCTATGGTCTGACTTTTTTTGTGCTATTTGCTCATGCTGAAATTCAATTACTTGAGTTTCAAACTCTTCGTTAATGTACGGGTCTGCTTCCAGTGTGGAGAATATACTGTCCCAAGCTTCAGAGGTTTTATGCAAATGTTTTCAGAGATATTTCTAGGGACCTGTAAATTTTCAGTTCTTCCAAGGTGGCATGATCAAGGGCAAGGTGTATACTCCTTTCCTGGCCTGTGCTCTGGTCTATGAGTGACCACAAGCACCCTTTTCTGTCTTGGAACTGGGAGGAGGATTCCCTCTCCACTACAAGCTCCACCACACCAGGGCTCTTCCTTGCCCCAGGACTGCCATCCAGAACTGTGACCCAGATCCAAGCATGAACAAAGCAAGAGAATCCTGCCTCAGCACCAGCAAAGAGATCCCTGCCATCCCTCTCTGATCAGCCACTCAATTCCCCCTCAGTCTGTGGGCTGGAAGTTCTGAAAACAGCCACTGTCCTGGGGCCATGCTCAGGGACTGGGGCTGGGAAGGAGCTTCTCTCCCATTGCAGACACAGACTTTTCCTACTGACCTTCTAAGTTGTCTTTGGCATTCATGGGTTGATAAGTCTTGAAACCATCACAGCTGCCCATGATTCAGTCCCCTGAGGCCTGCTCTAGGTTTGCTGAGGCCTGTTTTGCCAGCACACCCACGTAAAAAGAAATTTTTTTAAAAGCAGGCAGAATCACTCAGAATTGAGATGTTTATTCATCTTTCTGCAGATATTTATCAAGTACTCCCTGGGTACCAAGCTAGGTGCCAATGAGGGCCCATTCCTGGAAGTGTGTGCAAATATCGCTTTTATGGAAGCATAACATAGTCCTTATCATCCAAAAGTTTATAATCTAGTTGGTGACAGCCTCTATATGTATTGTTGTTATTCAGTCATATCTGACTCTTTGTGACCCCATTTGGGATTTTCTTGGCAAAGACACTGGAATGGTTTGCCATTTTCTTCTCCAGATCATTTTACAGATGAGGAAACTGAGGCAAACAGGGTTAAGTGACTTGCCCAGGGTCACATAGTCAAGTATCTGGAGCCAGATTTGAACTCAGGTCTTCCTGACTCCAGACCCAGCACTCTATCCAACTGTGCTACTTAGCTGCCCAATGTATGGCCATGTACATATTCAAATCTGTCAATAGGCATGTAATGTCCATCAACCCATGCCAGAGGGCACTGTATCAACCAAGCTGCCTTTTCCTCTCTGACATGATCTTAGGGCAGCTGATTCATTCATTTCACAAGCATTTATTCTCTTCTGGATTCCCAGTATTGTGCTAGACACCGGGGGATGCAAAGACAAAATTGAAACAATCTCTGCCATCAAGGAACCTACATTATATTGGAGGGGGAAAAAAGGCAAATGTACAATATATACTGAGTAATTTCTGGAGGGAAGTCACTACAAGTAGG